CCAGGTTCATTCAATTATAATAAATATTATTAATTTTTATATATCTAATTTAATAGAATAATGATAAGAATAACTTTAAAAATATATATTTTATATATTATCAATAGTAAACAATTAACAAAACAATAATATATTACTAATAAAAATCTAACAAAAATTTAAATATATTTTACAATAATTCACAAAATAATAATAATATAAATAAAAGACAATATTTTCATAAAACCCAATCAAACAATCATTTTTTGTCCCCGTCTTCAGTATTTCGTTTAAGAAATGACTTCATTATGTCTTCGGGCATATTGTGAGCCCAATCGGGAATGTTGTCCACCGGTAGATCAAAACCGGACATTAATGTCTTGATTTGTTGGATGAGATCTATTAAAGAGTCAATAATTATCAGGTAATCAATAATTTGTTTCTTACGGTAAAATAAATTCATTAATATATTATAATTAATACAAACCGTCGTTTAAAGTGATTGTTTGATCCCTTGATGTCTCATTGATCGTCAAATTAGTCTCAACTGTACTGACAGTTACATCAAATAAATATTAAATATAATAATATTAATAGAAATTGACATAATTTCTAATGGAAGGGAAGTTTCCAAATTAAATTTATTCAATTTTCCCGTTAAATTAATAAAAATTTAATTAATTAAATTTAAAAAATTAAAAATACAATTATAACATACAGCATATGTGTATGTTTTCAAAAATTTTAATAAAATGTGTGGAAATTATCTTGATATTATCATATTGAAAAGATTAAATATTTATAAAAATAAATTAGAGATGAAATTTTCCAAAATTTTTGTTTTCAATATTACAATAATTTTATTTTGAAATTTTTTATATTTTTGTATTAAATAATTAATAAATTGATAATTTTCATAACAAAAAATTAATAAATATTAGTAAACTTGAATAAATAATATTTGCATTAATTTTGTAAATAAATAAATAAAATTTAAAATATATGTTTATAACTATTAATAACTAGTATTTAGCCTAATATTATCTTATCATGTACAATCTGTCAATTATATTATAATGATTTTACGTAAAATTATTTATAATATAATTAAATATAAAGAATCTATACTTAGATTATATATAAATTTTATTTTAGATTAATAAAAATGACAGTCTTTCATGCATTTAACAAATTTATTTTTTTAATTAAAATAAATCTTTAAATAATTAATACAGGTAACAATTTAGTTTATTATTTGAGCAATATTTAATTAATCAAAAATAATAACTTATATTTAACTACTTATCACTAAATAAATATATTTAAGCTAACATTTGCAACAAATAGCTAACAATAGTTATTACAGTAAAATGCAATAATAGAAATCTATTGAATCCCATAATATTGTCGATTCATTTAATTTCGGGACAATTCAATGATTTTGAGGAACAATAGGGCCAACAATGAGATAATCTATAAATTATATAAACAAAACAATAATTTTGTAATTAATTTTTTAATAGTAAATACAATATTCAAAAAATATATAAATATAATACTTCATAGCATCGGAAGTAATTGATTGTAAATAACTTCCAACACGAGAAGCCAACCTTTTTCTCTCCCATCCTCTCAATCATACACATCAACTGTCAAAATGAAAATATTTATATAAAGTTTTTAAGTATATTTTTATTTTTTAAATAATAATAATAATAAATAATTAAATTTGTTTATTAAAACCTTAATTTTTGTGTGAATAATATCTCGTCTTTGCTTTCTCTGAGCGATTGCATTATAGCTGTTGTTTTCCATCGCTGGCGAGTTATCTTCAGTCGTGAAAGTCATTCAAACAACTAAAATGTTTTCAACTCAAACACATTAACTTAAATATTGAACTTCAAAAAAGCAATTTTCAAAACATAATTGCTATCGATATTGTTTTGCAATAAATTCATTTAAAGCTATATTTGTATACTTGAAAAAAACTATTAATTTCAAAATTGTCATTAAAATAAAAAAATGTTATTATCATATAATATAACAATACTGTATAATGTAAATGTAAATAAAGTTATTATAAAAACAATTATCAAAAAAGTTATCATTTTTTTTAATTTTATATTGTTTTTGCTGAAAATTTAATGATCATTTCTATGGTGACATTAGTCTTAAATAATAATCAACAGAGTCATCATGAGTGCCAACTCATAATTATAAACAACTGTTTACCATATCTTACCATAAGTTACCACTATATAACTAGTTTTAACTAAAATTAGACTTGAATTAGATAATTATTAGTTAAATAAATTTTAATAAAGTTTAAAAATTATCTTTAAATATTACTAATTTTATTTATAAAATTTGTTAAAGTAACAAATGTGTGCATAAAAATTGTAGAAATATTTTTTTAAAAACTTGATCATCACATCACAATTTAGACCTTTTTTAAATAATTATTCTATTATTTATAAATATCATAAAATCGATTTTATTTAATGAGATAATAAACTTTAATATACTTATTTATTTTAATGATATATTTTTATATTAAATAAATATTATAATTATTATTGTCAAATGAATTTAACAAATTATTTTTTAAACATGTTTCAAACATATTTTATATCTATATAATACTATTTATGCTGAATAAATTTAATTATAAAACTTATAATAATTATAATAATTATTAATATATACATTTGTATATGTATAATACTGTAATAAGATATGCAGTAATTAATGCATGACATTGTTTTATAAATAAAAAATTTTATACAATTATATGAGTTTTTTTTGCCTAAATAGTGGACAGTTATTATATGATTTTATTTGAACATCAATTGTCTTTATTTTTTCATCAGTCTTTGAGTACTTCTTGTAGAGATAGATAGATAGATAGATAGATAGATAGATAGATAGATAGATAGATAGATAGATAGATAGATAGATAGATAGATAGATAGATAGATAGATAGATAGATAGATAGATAGATAGATAGATAGATAGATAGATAGATAGATAGATAGATAGATAGATAGATAGATAGATAGATAGATAGATAGATAGATAGATAGATAGATAGATAGATAGATAGATAGATAGATAGATAGATAGATAGATAGATAGATAGATAGATAGATAGATAGATAGATAGATAGATAGATAGATAGATAGATAGATAGATAGATAGATAGATAGATAGATAGATAGATAGATAGATAGATAGATAGATAGATAGATAGATAGATAGATAGATAGATAGATAGATAGATAGATAGATAGATAGATAGATAGATAGATAGATAGATAGATAGATAGATAGATAGATAGATAGATAGATAGATAGATAGATAGATAGATAGATAGATAGATAGATAGATAGATAGATAGATAGATAGATAGATAGATAGATAGATAGATAGATAGATAGATAGATAGATAGATAGATAGATAGATAGATAGATAGATAGATAGATAGATAGATAGAGAGAGAGAGAGAGAGAGAGAGAGATTAATATCATAATAATTATTGATAAATTGTTTTTATGTCATAAAATTTAGTTTTTAGATATAAATCTTTTCTGTAATTATTTAAATATTTAAAAATGTTGATGACTAAATTGTTTTTTAAATTGTTTAATATTACAATAAAATAATTATAATGAACAAGTAAATTGATGCCGTAGTTAAAATTTAATGAGTAATGAGTTAAGTATTTTTACAAATTTTCATCACTAAATTAAACTTCATTTCTATATTTATCGTTATCTTAGAATAAATTGTGTTTTTTAATTAATCATAAAATTTTATTAATATGTTTATATAAATATATTATTTTTTAGAAATTATAAAATTCTTTGTTAATTGTTAATAAATATTATAAATAATAGTATATTTTATAACTTAAATATTATATATTATATGCTTTTACCAATAATAATAATGTTAAAAATTAAATATAGATCAAATTTATCTTATTATATAATATTTATTTGTGCGACGACTCTAGCATTTAAATGAACAATCTAAATATTAAAAAATAATTTAGCCTAAACAATATTTTTTTTATCTCAATTGCGTAATAATATTTACTTACTTTTTTAAAATTGTTAAAAAATACTTTAACATTCAAATAGTCATTGTAACTAAAAAGTTTCTAAAAATATATATATAGTATATTGTGTATTGTTATCATAGATTACAAATGAATTAATTAAACTACTATTTGCTTATAGTTTTCTGAGTTGTTTGAGATCTATGAAAAAAATAAAATAATTATTAAATCAGACAATAATTGACAATATTGATAAAACTTATTTGCTAATTTCTAATAATTATCTAAATTAGATTGCATAATATTTTTATATATACATTATATATATTATTTTGTTAGTATTAAAGTATATAAAATAATAGTAAAATATAGGCTCTTTAAATGTATTATATAATAGATTAGAAAAGTATAATGCAGTGCTCAGATGCGAAATATTGTACTTTATATCAATTTATTTATTTATTATAATTATATACTACTATATTTAATATTAAAAAATAATTTTACATATGATTATTATTTCATTAAATAAAATATTAACTATTTTATCACAAATTCTAAGAAAACAACTGTTATATTGTAAATATATGATATATCCTCTTAAAAATAAACTAAATATATTTAGACTAAACTAATTAGAAAAAAATTCAAAAAATGTTCTCACAATTATAGTTTTATTTTTAAACTTATAAACATCCATAAGTTTCAAATAGCACTAAATATTTTGTCAAATATTTTATGATAGGTTTGTGAAATTTGAGTGATTTAATAATAATTACAAAACTTAATTTCATGTACTTTGAGCTGATCTTAATAGACGTTTTATCCGGTGTTTATAAAAAATAGTTTAACTATATTTATTAAATTTGATTATATAAACAATTGTGACAACATCTACAAAATATTCAGTCAAACTCTTTATGGTATATAAATTGAATAAATTATTCCTACAAAACAATAGTAAATTTCGTTTAACTCTAATATAGTATTCATAAGTTAGCATAGCTTTCATAGAATTGAATTTGTAGTTCAATCAGAAATGTTAGCGATTACTAAATTAATCATTATTTTTAGTTTTACAGCAATCACTGTATGCAATGGTTTACAATCGGATCCATTTATACATCACGTCAAACGACAGGTCAACTCATGGACACAATTACAAAACGATGGACCGGTAGTTCAGCCAATAATGAGACAGCAGATGGTGCCGCCATGTGATCCTCATTCAATGGGTTAGAGATAATTAAGTGATGAGATAACTAATTGCTGAACATTTTTTTCTTATATCACAGGATCGGTATTTAAGAGGTCAGCCCTAACGCCTCAAACATCTAACGCTTTCCCGGGTCTTGAAAAATATTATCTCAGCGAAGATCAAAGTGATGTCACATTTGTTGGCATAAATGGTACTAAACTGCCGGCACATAAGTTTGTTTTGGCGGCCAAGAGTTCAACTTTTGACCAGTTCTTCAAAGAGACTCCTAATAAAAATCAACACAACTTACAGGACATGGGTTACGAAGACAATGTGTTTAAGGTATTACTTCATTATCTTTACACAGAACAGCTAAAGTTAGATGAAAGTGAAAATCGGTATGAGTTGGCACGTGATGTCTACAAGATTGCTCGCAAGTTTAATGTCGATGGACTCATGAAACTGGTAGAGCTTATGTTCGGTCAGACCATAACAATGGATAACTATCTGGAAGTGCTTAAGTATGCCCAACACAATCAAATGCACGATTTGATGAGACACTGGACTGGATTTGTTTTTCAACACTCGCCGCAAATTATATCAGACGAGGCTTTCATGAATGAGACGGTCGATACGGCCAAACAGGTCCTAATGGCGCTCAACGCTCAACCAAATTATATATTATCAAAGATCAAGAAAATACTGGCGGATAATCCGACACTTCGTGTCCAACAATTGCAATCTATAGTTCCCGTCGATCGTTGCAATATTGATGACTTGTTGACGTTGAATGAGATCCAGATGTATGACCAGACATTTTTGCTCAATGAATCCGTCAAACGATTCAAGATTTTGCGCGACATTGAGTGTCATCGCATACCGTTTCCCAGATTTCATATGAATGATCCGATGGCACACAAACAAAATATGGAGTCTATGATGTATAAGCCAAATATGGTCAGTAATGGTCAACCTAATCAACCAAATACTTTGAATACCCAAACAGTTGAAGAAAATTAATTAATTAACTAATGATTATTAATTAATGATGTTTTATGACTATCTATATTGGATTTAATGTTAAATTAATCACATTAATATTATTAGATAATTTATATAAATGTATTTTCAGTAAATAAATAAATATTAAAATAAATTTAATTATGTATTAGTAATGTTACAAAATGATATAATTATTAATAAATATATTTTACAAATTTAATTTTATAAGTTAATTACATTATAAATATAAAATTAATATATTTTCTAAAATGTTTGTATTCACATATTGTTTAAGTCAAATATTGTAGTTGTATTTATAAAACTAGAACAAATGTATTTTATATATTTAATAAATTATGTTTAATTAGGTTATAATATTATAAATTAATATATGTTTTTAAACAAATAAAATAAAGAGAAAATAAAAACTATGTTAAAAAATATTAGTAAAACTTTGCTATTATATTATTATCTATTATTTTTAAGTTTTGTCATTATTAGTATAAAATGTGATCAAATATTATTGAAATTATATGCCGGATGTTCATCGCAGGGTTGTTGGAAATCATGCAATTATAGTGGAAGTAATAGACATATAAACTATTTTACTTTAAAATAACATAAATTTTAAAAATTAATTGCTATTAAATGTAAATTAATGAATAGACTCGACTGTAGAGAATGGGAAAGGTCTGTACAAAGCCGGTTGGTGTCTAACCCGACCCCTCACTCACAACTGTAATCCATATAACGCCAAAAACCTGTGTCTTTCACATCTTAAATGCATTACATATTGTGAGTCATTTGGACGGCTATTCAAGAAACGGGTGGAAACACCACATTCAGCCACCGATTCATTTCAGTTTGGTTACAGTGGACAACAAATTGACGAGGATCAATTTAAATAAATATGATTTTATTAAATATTATCATTAGTATTAATAATCTAATAAAAAGTATTTATAAATATAATATTATCCTTTAACATTATACATTATTTTTATCATAATTATTTAAGGATTTTATTAATAAATATAAATATTGCAAAATATAAGCTATAATATAATTATTTAATTGTATTAAACAATAAAAATATTAATAATTAAGTTATATCAATATGATTTTTCCTATTAATATCAGAAAATTGTTCATATTATAACTTAATATAACTTATATTTACAATAATAATTGCGATAGTACTGTACAATACCTTGAAATAAAATAATCGATACATTAATGTACTGTTTGTGTGTAACTTAAGTGTTATTGAATAGATAGCAAACCGGCACAAAATGTAGTTTTATCTCATGTATTTAGATAATGTTTAAAAAAACGATTATATTTAATTTTATCAATTATTATTATTTGTAATATAAGGTATAATATTTCAGATAAAATAATAGTATATAAAGTGTGAGAATCTACACTAAAATATTAATAAATAAAAATTATTATTTTTTAAATAATACATTAATTAATAAATACTATAATAGTTAAAAATGATAAAAGAAATAGTTATTACACTTATGATTGGATATTTATGCCAACCATCCAATGCTTATCTGGAAGTTAAGGGTAAAGAGTTTTATTTTGAGGGCAAAAAGGTATTCTTGTCCGGCGCTAACATAGCTTGGAATGAGTTGGGCTCAGACTGGGGTAATGGCAAGTATTGGCAGCACAGGGACAAAATGAACGAATGGTTGGCCGGTATTAAAGCTCACGGAGGGAATGTGGCCCGGGTTTGGCTACACTTTTGGGGATCAGTATCGCCTAAGTTTGACTCAAAAGGCTATGTTGTTGGCACTGATAGCCAAAACGATTTGATTAAAGAAATGCAGGCACTGTTGGACGACGCGGCCAAACATAATGTCTTTATTATGTTCACCATATTTTGCAGTTTGTATTAAACACGGTTTTAAATATATATATATAACTGTATTTTAAATAACTATTTTGCATAAATAGCTTCAATATTTAAAACTGATGATGGATTTATTACTGATGAATCTAAAATACAATCATATATTGAAAAAGCATTGAAACCAATGGTTGAAGGAGTTAAAGGTATGTTTACTAATATTTATATTAAATAATTAGATAATTAATAGCAATTATAATAATATGTTTATATTATAATATTTTTTAAAAATTAATTTTATTTTCTGTTTAATTTTGTGGACAAATATTTATGCACTTAATTTTATTTATATTTTAATAGGTAAGAAAGCACTGTTTGCTTGGGAACTGATGAATGAACCGGAAGGAGGAATGGATATCTGGCACCCGGACAGTGACAAACATACCTGTTTTGATATATATCGGTGGCAAAGAAGCAATAAAAACATGGGTTTCGAGTTGAAACATCCTATTAAGAGGTAATACATGTCATATTCTATATACAAATAATAATAAAAAATATTTATAAAGTTTCTAAACTTATAATAACTAATACATTATATTATTATTACAGTATTTTTATTTTAATGTACATTATTTTAATAAATTTATGTTAATTGTGTTACTATTTTACAGAGTATTGCGATTTTTCAATTGGTTGACAGCAGCCATCCATACCTATGACCCGAAATCACTGGTAACTGTTGGCACATGGAATCCCAAGACATGTACTAAACAATGCACCGATTGTTTCAATTTATATGACAACGAGTGTATGGTCAGAGCCGGTGGTAAAGCAAACGGAACGTTAGATTTCTATCAAATTCATTCCTATGAGTGTGGATCAGAACACCCGATCAAAAGGACAGCCCAACAATATGGTCTGGAGAAGCCGCTAATTGTAGGCGAGTTCTCAACCAAGAGATCGTGTGTGTCGGACTCGGCACAGGTGTACAAACATTACTATTTTAGCGGATACAACGGTGCCCTTGCCTGGCAGTATAATGACCATCACGATAATGATAGGGATAGTAGGGATGTCATCAATCATGGAATGGAAGCCATCAGACATGAAACAAGTAATGGTGTCATTGATATCAAAATTGATGGTTAATTGATAGTTAAAATTTGATTTCAAAATAGTTTGTAAATAATTTTCAATTTTAAATAAGTTTAATTAATAATAAGTGTTTTGTTTACTTTAGTAATATTAAAAATAATAACAATTATAATAATACAAAATATAAATTTATTATCAATTGAAAAATGTTATTTTATGACTACCAATTTAAACTAGTATAATTGATAACTTAACAAACTAGTATAATTATATATAATATATAAAATATTTTAAATAAACGTACAAAATAATTTACAAATTACAAATAAAAAACATTTTAATTATTTAATCTAGAATAACAAAATACATATGCTAACACAATTTGTTATTTTTATATTATAAATAAATTATAACTAATTTTGTTTAAATTATTTACTGTACATTCTTTAATAAAATAAAAAATAAAAATTTATTATGAAAAATTTTTTTAATAAACATTTTTTTACTATTAAATTATTTTCAAACAAAATGACATCAATAATTAAGTTTAGGCAAAATATAGTAATATTATTGATATTTATAAACCAAAGTACATCTATATTAAATTCAAGTTTTATTAATTATACGAGTAAGTCAAGTAATTTTTATAATATATTTTTTCATATTATTAAGCAGAAAATATTTAAAATAATTTTTTTTATCAAATTTATTTTTATTATAATTAGTTCAACGCTTAGCTCCCTATGAGTTACAAACAGATGACTATGAGTTATGCAGAAATAATCTCTGTTTTACTTATTGTGCACTTAATGTAAGTGATCCGCGATTTCAAGAGTTTGGACGTATACTAAACTACCGGTGCTTTACTACAAGAGGTGAGCCAAATGATGGCCAGTTTATTGAGTGTACAAATTCAATATTTACGAGTCATTGTTATCCTGACTACAACTGTGCCCATCCATGTGGTAGTATTAACTCATTGAAGCCCACGCTCTGGAATTATGTCCATTAATATTATAACTATAAAACCAATTAGTATTATAATTAGTAAATTATTGTACAGTTTTATTATAGATTATAAAATTTAATTCTTTAAGTTATAAATAAAAGTAATTTAAATAAATTTTTAATATAAATAATTTTAATAAAAAATTGTTTATTGGAATCAATTTGAAGACAAAATTTGTAAATTACTTTATTGATTATTTTTATCAAATAGAAAATAATTTAAATAATTTATTTGTAATATTGATATAAATACAGTATATATACTAATATTATAATATTATAGCTTTATTAAAAATTTATTAGATATACTATTATTACCATACTATCAATATTTTATTACAACCACATATTATAACAGTATTACTACACTAATTAAAATTAAGATAATAATTAAAATAAATTACATAATAATTAATTGTCTCAATTTAAAATTTCAGAGACATATTTTTAAGTTAAAAATAAAACATTTAAATTTTAATTGATTTTTTTAAATAGTGTTTTAATGAACATCGAATAAATTATATTTATATGTTTTACATTAATATTATAAATATAAAACGACTAAATGTTAGGTATGTTTAAAATTGATAAACTTGAAAAATGCAATTATTATTATTAATTATTATATTGATAATTAATAGTAACTTTAGATATATGTGACTAAAATTAGTGTTTTATTGAATGAAATATTTGCTTAAAAGCATGAAAATATGTGATTATATTTTGTTAAAATAGTCAAAATATGTGGTTATATTTAATAACAATTTAAAAATTGTGTTACAATTAATGATAAATTAATATTTTTTTTTCTTATCAATACTTAAATTCTCATAAATTAAAATTATACAACTTTTAAATTCAGTATAAATTAAAATCAATACAAATAAATCTTTAAATCTTATTTTCTTTTAGTAGACATTAGAAATTAGTAGAATTTTAGAAAACATAAATATTATGATACAGTATTTGTCTGAAATTATGAAATAGTAATAATGTATAATACATTGCATAAAAATAAAATGCTTGTTATTTATTTTAAAATATTGAAAACAATAATACATATACTAAATAAACATAAGAAAAATGTATTTTAACTATTATTTTCCATTATATTATAGTTATTTGCAAAATATGTGCTTATATTTGATAATATTTGACTACCTTTTAAAATATGTTGTTATATGTGTTTATGTGACTAAAACTTTTGCCATAATAATCAGTTTTCAATCAATTGCTTATATATCTAATTATTTTGTTAATATCTTTAATCACTAAAAATATAAGTTATATGTGAAATAAATGCTCTAATAATTAACTAAACAGATAGCACGCAAATAATTACACAATTAATTGCATAATATTTCATAATTATATTTTTGTTTTGTTATAATGTGTTAAAAACAAAAATACATATAAGAACTAAAAACTAAATAATATTTTATTTCTTATTATTATTTTACTAATTTTAGAAATGTCTGTCTATTTAATAATTTATGTAATTTGTTATCTACTTTATTAACAGATGAAGCATTAAATATGATAAATAAAAATATAGTAATAATAATAATATAAAGAAAAAATAAAAATAAAAATAATTTTGATTAATGTAACAGTTATTTGAAAAATAGAGACAAATAGTAATAAAACTAACCGAAGAATCCAAATGTTAAACAAATTATTAATAAAAACTTTAAGCAATAAGTGCTGTTATATTCATTGATTTAAATATACATACAGTTTATTAATTTCATAGTTTTTCGAAGAAAATTACAATTATTTGCAAATTTTTTATATTTTTATTTTGAGATATAAACATAATTTATAAAAATAGATTACTTGATGGCCAATTAAATAAAAAAAAATAAAAATAAAAAATAAAACAAGTTTGATAATAAACTTTTCCACACTTTCCATGTCATGTATGGAAACTGTTGGGCAAAAAGGAGATCCATTGGAAAAGCATTTGTCACAAATGGGTCCAAATTACAGGAACCGTTGATTCGTCAAAACCATTAACATTTGATTCAACATATATTGCAGACATTTATTGTCTTTCGACTAATTGAAACAATCGAAAAGCCTTTTAATTCAACAGTCAATCAAACAATTCAATCGACAGATATCTCGAAAACAGTTGGACTCACTTAACATCAATGACAAGACTCCGATTGACTTCACTGATTGATCGTTCAAATCGATGGCAAAAAAGTGAAAACATTCCTTGATTTTGGATCAATATTTAAATAGTATTACTAAACAATATATTTAAAAATATTTATTGCATTACAATTAGTTTTTATTTAACTAAATATTACAAAATTACATTATAATTAAAGTACTGGAAATTAATTTTTTAATTAAAAACATTGATAGAAAATTATTTTACAACACTAGTAAAAAAACAAGCTAACTATATATGAAGGCATAATACAAATACAAATATAAAATATCATTGATAACATATTTTTAAGTGAAACAAATTGTAGTAACAAATAGATTACTAATAGTAATATATCGATTATATCCAATAATATATCTTCAATCATATCGAAAACAATTTATAGACAATATATCATAATTAAAATTTTAAAAATTGAAATAATGATTATATAGTAAATGATTAGATAAGTGAATCAAAGTACAGTATTATAATTATTTTACAAAATACTAAAATCAATTTTTAAAAAAAACATAAAATGAAATAAAATTATTGTTTTTTATTGTTGTTGTTATTGTTGTCAAACAACTCGTCAGTGTATCGTTTGGGTCTCTTTGACACACGTCTGGACCGTTCACGCGATAGTAGTTCCTGTTTAATGACTGAATCGTTGTCAATGTTAACCGATCGGTGGCTAAATTGCAAACAAATTGTATATATATAAAGGCAAACAAAATGTCTAACCGTTCGGTCGAAACAATTATGTGTCCGTTTGTGGCCGTAATCTCGTCTATAGCCGCGTCGTCGACAGCCGTATGAATTGGCGACAAATCGGGCCAATAATATCTACAGACAAAAACAATAAAATATATAAAATTAAATGTTTTATATTAAACTAAATATAAATGTCAGAACCTATTGGTAGGCCAATAGGCCAGAAGTGGACAGTTGTCTATCGGGTATAAAGTTTTATCGCAAATGATTATCAGTTCATCATTATTGATGACTTTGATCTTTGATTTATCTTTTAGTAGTGCATTGTTAAGCACGAGATACATGTCATCGACGGTCGGAGTCTTGATGTCCATATAATGAACTAAATATCTTTTGAGATCAGCAATGGTTACAATCGTTTGATGTCCATCACCGGATCCGCCGCTGCCGTCAACATCAGTGGCTTCAATGTGAACCCATTGTTGAGGATTGGGTGACGTATCCGATGTCTCAAAGAGTTTGGCGCGAATTCGTTTGATTGTTGTTGTCGTCGACGATACAGACATCACATCTGAACAACAGCTGATCCTAACAATAGTTGTGAAGAGACTAAACAATTGACGACAAAAAAAATTAATTCAAAAAAACAAAACTTTTTATTTTGTCATTTGTTTCAATAGATTTGTCAACTCATGTGTCAAAAGATTTATAACATTTGATTCACAAACAATGTTACGAATTAAATGAAAGTAAAGTTTTTTAGAGTTAAATAATTCAAAGTAAAAATACATTTAGTGTTTTCGGCAATTTTTCCCCATTTTATTCTCCATAAGTACCCTATTTTCCCTGCTCTCTGGGAATTCCTAGGAATCCATTTCTTTGTGTTAACACAACTATTGAACCCTAAACAACAAATTTAATTATAAAGTTTACAAAATAATTGTTATATTAAACTCTATTTTAAATGGTATTCTTAAATAGTATGATTAAATTTATTGATTTCAAATTGATTTTTAAAAAAATATTTCACTGAAATTTTATTTTTAATATTTAAGTTTTGGTACTATTTATTGCAATAATTTAGACATATTTTCCTTTCTAATGATTAAAAAAGGGAAATAAAATATTTTCCGGAAAAATTAGAGATATTTTATTAGGGAATTCTCTCATTTGTAATTTTATCCGAACTCTAATTATATTACATAAAAAAAACATTTTTAGGAAAAGGTTTTGCAAATTATGTTAATATTAAGTAACGTTATATTTGGCGACAATTTATACGACACATGACTTACTGTCCAAATGATTGATACAAATGTTTAATCATTTGGTTTGTCTCTCAATAATTCAATTGTCGGCCAATTGTTGCGGACATTAGGTGTTATCGGATGTCTGTTACAAAACATCGGTCATTAACGCCGAACCATAAGATGTGCGTAAAGTCAACGCAAGTTATGGACACTGTCCAGAGCGGTGAAGTCAATTCATCGGTCGGCGACGATTCGGACACTTCTTCATCATCGGATGCAAGTCCTCATCATCGGGAATGGTTTGACCGATTGCTGGACTCGATTCCCGAGACACCTATTGGCGACCGATTACTGAAAGATTTAGTCGCTTTCTACGGATTGTTCATTCAAATCGGTAAACAAATGAATGACACGATGTATCAGATGAAGTCCTTAGAGGACTCGGTTCGCAAACAGCGGTCGATTGAATCGCTTTTCGCCCGACAGTTGCGATCATTGCGTACGGCTATTGCCGGACATAAGTGTCGGTCGATGAATGACACTAAAGCTATGGCTAATCTGAAGTCAACTATTAAACGATTAGATGAAAAGCTAGATTTGGTTGACCTATATATTGAACAATCGGAAAGAGAGATACATCTTCTGGATCTGCATTTGACAGCAATGCGGACACTTCTTCATAAACTTAAAGAGTTTACCAACAATAGTGTGGTAACCGTAGGTATCCATAACAATATCGGCGATCGGATTATAAGCGCCAATAGATTATTGGCCAGAAAACAGTCTATGAGAGACCGAAGAAAGATATGAGATTACCGATCAATTTATTGGCCATTACTCGCACTAACGGCTCAAATATATATATAAAAACCAAATTATTATTATTACTATTTATGATTTGTTAATTGAAAAAATTTATTATTAGTTGATCTATATTTTTAATTTTATTAATAAAAAATATTTACTTTTTATTTCTAATTACTAATTAATTGTATTATAAAAAATTATGCAATTTATATAATCCGTATTACAATTACGGTATTTAAAAAATATATTATTTTTTATTTATAAAGTTTATACTTACAAAATACAGTATAATTACAAACATTTAGATAAATAAATTTATAATTATATTAGATTATAATTTTACATAAGTATATTACATAATTATTTAAATAAATATAGAGATGTACTGTAATAATTTATTTGAAAAATATTTTTTAAAATTTATATTTGACACTTGATTACCATTTATAAGCTATTATTATAATAAAGCTTAATACAAATTAATGAGTTTTAGATTTATATTTTGTTTAATAATTTAAATAACTTATTTAAAATTATATTAATACAAAACAATAGTTAAATATATCACTTATTTTAAAATAAATTACTTATATTTACAATTTTTTTATTTACATACAAAATATTTAGTTAGCCATAAGTTATAAATTGTATTATAATTAATTGTTGTTAGTTTATAAAAATATTTTATAACATTGTCTCTAATGGATTATTTTTAGTGCAATTGTTGTTATCATTTTTAATAATAATATTATTCAATCCATTAGTGGCCACTGAATATCGGCGACTTCCGGCAACCAGTTTGGTCTCACCGTCGCCGTTCACATAAGTAGTATATTTGGTGGACCATTGAGTGCGATCAGTTGATCCCAAATGAAAGAGGTCACGGAATGTCTCACGAAAGAGTCGACTCATTCCACAATAGATGGCAAAGTTGACCGGATAGGACAGTATGATCACGAAGTTGCTGAACACAATAGTTGTGTTCAATATCTTGTAGCTGACTATCTCTAAGTCCAATGCGTTTTGCATGACATGTAACAGTGTTGTGATGGCCAACGGGATTTCGACCACCAAAAACACGGACACCACTACTATCAACATTATGGTTGTCGAGTTGGAGTCTCGGATCTTTCGGTTATCACTACTGGTTGGCGCACTTTTACCCAATAGTTTGTTGCGATTATTGGCCGCTTTGCGCAATGCTATGAATAGTAGGACATTGAAGACGACGAGTGCAGCGCACGGACCAATGTGTACGAAGATTATACGGAACGTGTAGTACGAGGTATAGTAATAGTCTTCAATGTTCTCCACCCACGGACTCGAACTGATCTGACATCCCGTCACTTCTTTGTCGTCCAGAATAAAGGTCACGGAATTGTATTGTCGATCAAAAAATCTGGTGATTTGATGGAGAAATGCCAACAAATATATGGCACAAATGGCTCGTATGACTCGTGGTGTTGTACACCAGTTACGGGCCGCACAGGGATGACATATATAAATATATCTAAATTATAATAATAGGAAAATAGTTAAGTGAGTTAAGTTAAGTGATTACAGATATCTATTAACTAATATGCTGTATACCTCTGACAGGCTAACAATAAGGTGAACCAAATGGATGCCGTGTGGAAAAACATGGGAATTACTTCTATCATATAATAGTAGGCATAACACGCGTATGTCGGGTACAGTAACTTCCAGTGGTTGCTCAATGTGTACATATAAAAGTACCATGGTGCCGGGAACAGTAGGGTCAATAAGTCTGCCACAGCCATCGATAGTAAAAGAATATTAGTCGGTGTTCTCATGTGACGGCGCGACAACACCAACACTATCAATATGTTGGCCACAATCGTTATGACCAACAGGAACGGCATTATGTAGCCGAACATTACCAGTGCGTACTCCAGTGGCATATCACCCGTTACGTTAAGTAGATTAAATGGCACCTGTATCTACATTTGACATATCATATTTGACATTAGTATAAATAACAATAAATTATACTAATATGTGCTTATATAATATGTATAATTACTTTTTATATACATGTGCATTTTTAGTACTGTGAATATTATTGCATTTTTATAGTGTATATAAATTTATATATTTTATTTTATATATTAAATATTATATAATGTTATTTTTTGAAGCTGACAGTAAAATAATTATTTTAGTGCAATACAATAGTATAAGAAAATAAATTTATTTCAAGCATAAAATTGCAATACTCTTGTAATTATAATCATAAAATGTTTTATACAGTTATTATAATAATTAGGATAATTGTTTTTTGGCTATATTGAACATAAATTATTTTTTTAATAATAAAAATAAAAAATAAGAAACATAATAATAATAATAATAACATCAAATATCGTTAATGTGTTTTATCGAGAAAATGTGTGACAATAGACATAACGGATAATAAAAACAATAAACCATTAAAACATAGAAAAATGATTTATACCTCAATATCGTCTACAATATTGACTGCCGTATGAGAGTCGTTCATATGAGAGGAACCGTATCTAATGATTGTGTCGACAGTTGACTGTATCGTAGTCGTCGTCATATTGTTTAATGTTTTGACATTATAGTAGCGACCATTGTCCACATAAATGGTCTCTTGAGTTGCTTTAACATCCATTATGTCACATATATTCAAAATATTTTATCAATGTCTTGAACGTCGAGTATTTTTTGTGTAGTCGTGTCCACTCTCTTTCTTTCTCTCTCTCTCTTTCTTTCTTTCTCTCTCTCTCTCTCTCTCTCTCTCTCTCTCTTTCTCTCTCTCTCTTTCTCTCTCTCTCTCTCTCTCTCTCTCTCTCTCTCTCTCTCTTTAGCCGATAAGGGAAAACCTTTTTTAAAAGCTTTATTTTCACAGTTTTTTTCTTTCAACAGCAATGTATGTGTTTCTTGTTTCGAAAACAAAACTTTTTGTTTTATGCCAAAAATATATAAAAAATTGTTTGATATCTGTATATAAATACAAAATACAACAAAAATAAAAACATATAGCAATATATTATTACTGATAAAAATGTTAAAAACATTATTATGTGATACTATAGGTTGTGTGGCATTTGGCTTTTGATAAATACAATACTGTATATATAGTGTGTATAGAAAGAGAGCAGAGATTTAATAAGAAACAATAAAAAATGAATATAATTTTCTATATGTATAACATTTTCTGCAAAAAGTGATTTTTAGACTAAAATTAATTCGACTTTTTTTATATGTAATATAAAAATGTAATATAAAATTTTTTCCATACAAACTTGAATTTTAAATCACCTTTTTGATCAAAATAATATTTAAGACTATTAGTATAATATAGAGTGATATATTAAATGGGATAAAAACTTACATAAAAGTATTATGTTATCGCTATTATTATTTGTGAATTTTCTAACAAGTAATTCACATTTGAATTTTATTTTTTATTCTTTAACTGTTATCGAAATGGTTAAAACTGGTTTTTATAACAATAAAGTTATTAAATATTAAGTTAAAAACATATTTTTTATTAATGAAATTATTTTTATGTTAAAAAATGTTATGGTAATAATACAATAGAAATAATATACCGTATTTATTTTGAATAATATATATTTTGCATATTTTATTCTTAAAATGTTTTAATTGATAGCTTAGTATTTTAGAATAATTGTATCTTTTTGTTAAATAAAAATTATATAAAACTTTTAAATATTCTTTTTAATTTAGATAATAATAATCATGTAATAATTTAACATTATATCAGTATATTCAATAGTTTTAAAAACATGATAACATCAATGTTAGTACTGTACATAACTATATTGAGTTATTTCATTATTAATAATATACAGTAGTATTATTATATTATGACAAAAAATCATATATAAATACCTTTTTTTATTTAGAAAAGCCTGTGTCAACCATTTTTCAAAATCAATATTATTTATTAAAACCCATTTACAGTATATTGACAGAAATAATATAAATGTTTTATATTTAGTAAATAGTCAAACACTTTCTAATAATAAAAGCATTTATAGTAATCTATAAATTTATAGAATTTACTTAAAATTTTAAATTTTTAGACATAAATTCAATATTTTAACAATGAGTTTTTCCTGTACTTAAAAGGTTTTAAAATAAAATTATCCGGTTTTTTAGTGCTAAGGTATATCTATAAAATATAAACTTTTAAATATAAAAGACATTACATTAAAAATTAAAATATATTTTTTTGCATTTTTGATACATTAAAGAAATAACTCATGTGTTTTAAATAATTGTATTATTTTATTAAACTTAACTATAATTTTATTGTCAAACAAATATTATAGAATAAAAATTTTAATTATATATGTAAATATTAATAAATTATTTGGTGTGGCATTGATTATTTTATTTGTTATTATGTTAATATATTATAAATTATTTGTTACCATGTAAATAAATGATTATGCATCATTAAAACTAAATTATATACCAGGTATTATGAAAAACAAAATTATAACCTAATATGTGATGATAACAAAATATAGTAAAAGTTATTATAATAAGATAAATAAAATAAATTTTAATTAACTATGGATAATTGTTAAATATTTATTTGATATAATTAATAATAGTATCAAATGTTTTTTTATGATAAAAGTAGTACAGATATACATTGACATTATAAATCTTAAATAAATACATTTGATTAAATCTAGAAATATTTCTATTACTATTATAATAACTTTTTTATATTATATTTAAAATGTTTATAATAATAAATAATAATAATAAATACAAAACTTAGAATTTTAGATTTTTTACAATAAAGATATTTACTATCTATTAAATAAAATTTGTTGAGTTTTTTTTATAAATATCTTCAAAAGATAATCTAATGTCAAATCATTTATAAGTGAAAAAAATTTTGTAAGAATATTCTCTAATGACTACAATGAATGTCAAAGAATATGCTATTTGTATGACAGACACCAACTTATCAGTAATGATCTCAATAACAGAGAAATAGTAAATAGTATGCCAACAAAACACATAATAAACACATTATTTTCACAACACGTTTCTAAGTAATGTAAACGTGAGATATAAATAGATAGAGAGACAGATAGATAAGAGAGAGAGAGAGAGAGAGAGAGAGAGAGAGAGAGAGAGAGAGAGAGAGAGAGAGAGAGAGAGAGAGAGCATACAACTAATTGCTATAATATCTCACAAACACATAATTTTCTAATCGTTAGTATTCACTAACATTTGTTATTTCTATTGTTATAATATATCATAATTTTGTACACAAAAATAACATAAAATTTAAAAGTATTCAATAGTTTAGTCAAAAATTACATATTTTATTGACTAAATAATATTTGGGTTAACTATTTTGCATTGTGTTTGCATAAAAATGTTGCGTAAATACAATATAACTTAATTAATGTTATTAGTGTCGTGTAGTGACTATCTCTTGAAAGTTTATATTTACTAAAACTATACAAACATTAAGCTTTTGAGTATTTATGTAGTGTTTGTGAGTCACAAGTTATGTCATAAACTATAGTAATAATAACTCATATTATATGATATTTATTATAATCTATAGCTTGCATGACATATGGATATTTGCATAAAATATTTATAATTAAAATCAAATAAATAATAATAATAGTACTAATAATAATGTAACTTTAGAAACAAACAAATTATTATATGCATAATATAGTTAATACAAGTTAATGTAATTTTAGAGTTTAATTATACAGTTGTTAAATTAGTAAAATTTAATTATTAAAAAAAAATATTATTAAATAAAAATTTGTAATTTATTTTTAAAATTAGCTTCAAATTGGTTATAAAAGTAAAATTTTATGATGACATATTTACTTTTTTTTGTAATAATAAGTTTATAGAAAAATGTTTTACAAAAATAAGATCTAATACTGATTTTAAAACTTTTATTTAAAGCTTATTAATAAAAAATAAAATTCTTTCAATATTTCTAATAACAATAATCTACTTATATATTAGTATTTTGGTCGCAAACCTTTTAAAATTTAAAAAACCTAAGAGATATTTAATCTAAATAAGATAAAAATATATAAAACAAAAAATAATGAATAATATTTATTTAAGAAATAAACATTAAATATCTAAATAAATTATTGATCTATAAATATATGATTAGTATGTTTTTCTTGTTATGTTATGTATTATATGTTATTTAGTATTTTAATAAACTATAAGTAAATATAAACCTTATTTCTAAAAACTAAACACTGATATTACGAATAACAAATTTATTAAAACTTTATATTTTATAATAATTAATTTTTTTAAATAAAAATTTATATTTTATAAAAAAATAATAAACATAGAATACATAAATTTATATATAAATAGAAAGTAAATTAAAAAATTATTATTATTATTTTAGTTCAATTATTTGACATTAGTTTAAAAAAAATATTAAAATATTTTTAATATTTATACTTTATAAAAAATTTATTTTTTTAAAAATATAACAAAAGACAATTTACTTGAAATAAATTCAAACATTTGACACTCAACTTTATAGACACTTTACTTGCATTTGTTAAAAATTGCAGATAAAATAACAAAGTGTTATATAATATGCTTTTATAATATAGACAGTCAATTTGGTTTACAATAACAACTAATATTAATATTACTACTACAACAACTACTACTACTACTATTACTACTACTTTAAATACTACCAACATTTGTGTCCAACTTTATTACGATAGGAAAATAAATCAATAAAATTCTAATACTTTTTTATAAAAATAAATTGTGTTTATAAAGTTAGTACATATTTGTTTAACTTTGTGACACATCACAAGATTTTATATATGCAATACTAGATAAATAAAAAAATAGATTTTTACAAAAAATATTCGAAATATAAATTATTTACATCTGAATTGAAGTGAAAAATCAATATAAAGTTTTCTAAACTTATATATAAATATATATATATATACAGTATATATATATAGTATACACATATATATATGTTATTTACGCCTATCTTTATAATTTAAATTGTATCTACATTTTAGTGTATATTTTAAATATATTTATTTAGTTACTATTTTGTTTAAACTTTAGTATCATTTAATGAAAATCTTATATACAATATAATAGTTTTTTCTGTATTGACTTCAATAAAGTTTTTTTCGGCATTCATTCATTTCATTCATACTAATAGTCATTCATTCATATAAAAGATTTAAAATAAAAAGAAAAATAAATAACTGTTTTTGTATTAGTCTTAATGAAACACTTAGTGATTAAATTCAATACAATGAATAGATTTTGCTAACCATTGAGTTGTAAATATACTAATAATATTTTTTATGAATCTTATTGACAATAATAATACGGTATTCACAATAATACCATTTAATAAAATATAGTATAAATTATATTGTAAAATAAATTATATTACATATTTTATAATACATTTATAATATATCACACATTTATAATAAGCTTTAATTTTTATAAAGATTTTAATATTTTGACAATTATACTAAAATTATAGTAAAACTAATGTAAATTATTATTCCACTATATATTATACAAATTGAGTTTTAAGAGTTGAGTATTGTTTACGTATTAAGTGTATTGTAAATTATACTAAAAAACAAATTTTTACAATTTCTAAAATCACATTTAAGTTGTATAATACATAAACATATATTGTGTTAATATTTATAACAATTACTGTATATATATATGTTTAATTTTTTTAAATA